AGCTGGGGATGCCATTGAAGGTTGGCGCCGGTTTTTAGGCCGCCTTCATGTCCCAGAGTCGATCGCTTGCTGTTTGTGCCAGTCAAAAGTTGCCAGACACATGGCAGATCTTCAGAGATCTTTGCTTGTCCATGTTCCGAAGAACTCTGGCTGGCACTTTAATCAACCAGTCTTCTGCATGTTTTGAGTATAAGTTGCGGTGGATCTTGTGGAGATCCCACATAGCCTGGCATGCGGCCAGTTTCTATTTGCTGTGGTAGATCAGTTTCTTCACTGCGAAGCAGTGAACTTCGTGCAGCTGGTCGTGTCTTGCTGGAGCAGAGTCCTGAAGCTTGGGTTAAGTCTCTCATTGGGAGACAGCTAAGTTGAAGCGGATCGCTCCAGTGGCACCCGGCCGTTTGCCCCTCGCCCTTTTGAGACGCGTTCAGAATCCGAATCGTTCCGGGCAGCTCCATGGGAAGGGGAGAATCTGCATGAGCCCACGCTCGAAGTGGCCGACCTTCCGTCCCAAAAGGGAGCCATGAGCCAAGCCTTGATAGTTTCATGTCAAATCAGCAACAAAGTTTTTGTTGAGCTATACGAGCTCAGCCATTGTCATGAACGCGATGCTTGATGCGCGTGTTTAAGATACCAAGCATGCATCCAATCCTTGGCGAGTCAGATGCGAACTCAAGCAAGGATGGACAACAGCAATCCTTCAGTTTGAGCAACCCATTGGGATCAACATGACTCGACCCCAGCTTTTTCTTCCCGAAGGTGCCAGACCCTCAAGTGGTGGAGGCTGTGACCCAGGCGCGAGCGAAACGGTCGTGCCGTGATGTCACACTCCCACGCTTTCGGCAATGCCCTCGATGCCATGCGCCAGGTAGCTAGACCTGTCATTGAGTATGTCGACAAGGACGACACATGGAAGCGAGTGAGATCAAGATACTTGAGCAATCACCAGCCATATCGAATATGGCACATATACAGTTAAATTTGCAAAAGCGCAGAGAGCACCAAAGTACCTGCACCATACCCCGAGCCAGCCCCACTATTTGCAGGGTGGATAGATGTGCTTGCGGCGTTCTTTTGAACATGTCATCATGGAAAGTGTTTTGCATGCTCTTGGAAAGCAAAAAACTGAAGCCGGATCAGAATTCACATGGCCGGGTCAGAAACCCTGCACTTGTGACTTTGAAGGGGTGTTCGGAATTGGCTGGCTGGTCGATTGTTTAGTCTTTGTTTCATGGAGCTGCAAAAAGGCGAACAGGCTCGCAAATGCTCAAGGCACGGAGTGTCAGGAAGTGCCCCACGTCTACACGGAGCCCGTGGAGCGATTGCATGAGGTATTGCAGAAGTGAGGACCTCAGAGCTCGCAGGTGTCCGACACACTTCTTTCTTTGACTGTGCGATGTCTTTTCTTTTTTTCATGTCTGTACCAGTCTTGTCTTTGCTCTTCTTTGTTTGTTTCGTTTCTCCATGGTGTCAGAGTTATGATTGAGGAATTTGTTTTGTTTAGTTTGCTGTTTGACAAGAAGTTCTCTCTTCTTGAATGTAGCTTTTGACGGGCTAGATGATCCTTGAAGGGCTTGCCGCAGCCTTGCTTGCCGATTCTGATGATTGTCCGAATGTGTTTTGCTCTTGCATCTCTTTTTGCGTTTGATAGAGTGTCTGCGGTGTTCACTGTTCACAAAAGTTTAAGGGCTGGGCCATAAGCATATATATATATATATTCGATTGAATCAGTCTTTGGGTGAGGGAGGGGGATGCTGAAAGGATCGCAATCTAGTCGACTTGAGTTCGGCAAGTTAGTTCTTGATTTGCCACCCCTGCCCAAAGAGCCCGCGCGACGGGATTGACTCCCCTTCCTGCTCCTGTGGACCAAAGATTGAGCTGTCCAGCTATGTGGCGCTGACTTTTTGTTTGCTTGGCGCAGCCCATCTCAAGTGCTGTTAGGTGTATGGACTGGACATTTGATACACATTTTCCTGACACTGCCCTTGCTCCTGATAACCGGGCCCACCTGCCTTTTTATGAATCCAGAAAGCGTTCCCTCGAATTTGGTTCAATCTTCCCTTTCGCTTCTGAAAATAGACTTTCAGAATAAACAGAAGATATCGGAATCGAACCATTCAGATTCCTCAAAGGATTGCATCCTGAGCGCCTTTCTGGCCGAAGGGACAGGACACATGCCAAGTTGCACCTTAGAGTGGAGCTGGCTTTGGCCCCCAAGCGGATTCTCCTCACACATGCTTTTTCATCAGCCTATTGGGGCCGGTAGAGGCCATTGGGGGAAGGGAGGCACCTAAGACCTTTGTCGCTTGGAATGAATGACCCAAAGCTTCGTATCGCAAGTCCGTTGCGCCCAAATCTCTGCTGAGCCACGTATCCAAGTCTGAGAACTTCAAGCTCTGGAGAGCAGCTCGCGTCCAGTATCAATCTGAGGCCTTTGCTTCAAGAGGTGGCCGTGCCTGTGCCGCAGTTGCTGACATATGAGGTGCGGCGTGGGGACTTGTCGCTGGCTTGGCTTGGAGTTTAGATGCTTGCGTTGAGCAGAGTTGTTTTTGCGTTGAGCATTCGCTGAGTCTTCGGAGGGAACTCGCTTTCTGCAGCGGAGGTATTGCGTAGGCAATTCTGGTGGAGAGAACGTCGTCGCACAGGCGGTCCACGTAAGCTGTTCCAAAGACTGCTGCGGCAGGTAGGTTAGCGCAGGCATATTTTGCCTTACACAAACTTAGGAGTAGCCTAGTCTAGTGATTAGCGCCAGAGAAAGGTTGCCGCGTTCGCGTAGGCGCCCCTATGGTTTTACACACCCGCAGAGGCTCCGCGTTGCCAATGGGGCCGATACACCCAAACCACACTCTGACATGGCTTCTCAACACGGATTTCGTGATACCATGCATTTTATAGAAGCGTCAGACGTCCTGCACAAGTTCACAGGATTTAGGACAAAGCTATAGATTGCACGAACAATGGCAACTGAACTTTGCAGCCACATCCAAGCTATCCGATTGAAACAAAGGCCTCGCTCTCGGCATTGTTCCAAAGAGCAGCACCCGCCCATGCACACTCTTCGACCGGCGAATGCGATTCTTTCCTGAATGTTAAACGAACAATCAGCGTCCAAAAAAGACACATGACAGAGCAATGTAGCTACTAACGACCCAGAGTCAAAGGTTAACGGAGATGGTTTGTCATGAGAAATTGGCACATGGCTCCAGCAGACAAGCGTGGGATTCTATCCGAGATGAATATGCAATGCAATGCCTTCATCACCCAGCTTCAAGGAAGCTTTGAAGAATCTGAATGGCATGGCCAGTGCACGCGCCGTTTCCAGGCCATTCGACAGGAGGCAGAGCCCAGCGTTCACCAGTCACTGCGGGAGGTGCCGAAGGCCCGAATCCGGATGGGCATTCCGCACTCAGTTTGATTGCCAATCGATCCGGTCAACGAAGCTTGTGCCTTCCCTGAATTGGCTCGAGTCGATCCTTTCTCCGCAGGGGAGCCAAGAGAGCATCGGGGAAGTTAGCGTTGGAGGCACGATGGTCCATTGGCCCATGCAGCTTTGCCAGCTTGACAGAAGAGAAGCTATCAGCATTGGCCTAGCAATGGCCACTGCGGCGACTGTATCCCGACTGTGCCGAGGACAACCAACTGGCAAGCAAACCAGTCTTTTCGTAGCTTCCGCTGCTTCTTTGTTTGTTTGGTTGGTTGGTTTGGGGTTTGGGTTTGGTTTGGGTTTGGTTTGGGTTTGGTTTGGTTTGGTTTGGTTTGGTTTGGTTGGTTGGTTGGGTTGGTTGGTTGGTTGGTTCGTTCATTCATTCAGTCAGTCATTCATTCATTCATTGCTTGCTTGCTTGCTTGCTTGCTTGCTTGCTTGCTTGCTTGCTTGCTTGCTTGCTTGCTTGCTTGCTTGCTTGCTTGCTTGCTTGCTTGCTTGCTTGCTTATGTATTTGCTTGTTTTCTTGTTTGCTTTTTTGTTTGTTTCTTTGTTTGTTTGCGCTTTTGTGCGTGCGCGCGTGCGATGCCCCTGGCTAGATTCCGAGTAGCTGCTCTTGTAGTTCCTGTCCAGGAGCCAGGATCATCTCACCGCAGCGAAGCGTCTTCCTGCGCTGCGCAAGCACCGAGGCGGGTCTGCAGGTATCCAGTGGGCAAGTCGTAGTGCCAAGATCTTGCAGTCCGCAAACGTGGGACAGTTTGCTTATCACCCATGCTAGCACGCGTATATACGTTAGCCAAGCCCCATTTGATGCCAACAGCTGCATTTGGTGTCGTTTGTGAGCCAGCCAAACCTGTTGTCGAGTTATCATATCTGAGAATCTATACTGCGTATGTTTTGCGGCCGCGGTTGCGCAACTTTTATTTTGCGGCTCAAAGGGCTGGAGTGCTTTAATCAGAGTCCAGTCAATTCTCTCTGTCGCTTGTGAACGAGCTGGGCATGCACGCCTTCAGCCTTGCCACACACCCATTCTCAGGGCCGGTTGCTCTTCTTTTCGCTGAAATGCGTATTTCCTCAACGAGAATCGCAGCCACAGGGAAGGTTTGCAGTCTGAAAGGTGATCACATTCTCCTTGCGTTGGCTTGCCCTGGCATCAAAGTTCCGAGGCCAAAGTTTACCCTTGATGTGAGACATTCTGTTCAGACCTAGCAAGTGGATATTGACAGCAGCCAGCCCATGCTCGCAGAATCAGGAGTCCAGCAGAGCAGCTCACGCTGCATCCGTGCAGACCGCCGACCAGGTGCAAATAACTTGCATGCCGCACGTATGTTGTGTGTGTGTGTGTTTATTGGCGGTCTTGTTTGTGTGTTTGGTTTGATTTGATTTGATTTGATTTCATTTGGTTTGTTTGTTTGTTTGTTTGTTTGTCTGTTCACTTGTTTCTCCTTTGTCTGCATGCCTGCTTGCCTGAATGTTTGTGTGTGTGCCTTTTGTTTGTTTGTCTGTGCAGCTGGTTTGTCTCCCTTCCCTAACTCGCTTTTGGACAAGTTCTCGCTAACACGGTCAAGGGAGAGAAGCG